ATCAATGAATTCCATTTTTTTTCAATGAATACAAAACAGAACAACCATCAATAAATATTTGTGACTCGTAAATATTTCATAGAAAACCAGAATTTCAGGATAATTTAGCAACAATTATATTTGTAGAAAGTATCAGGGATTAATAATTAAGCAGTAGTAATGCCTATTTCAAGTATTCTAAGGAAGTTATCTAAAGCAAATAAAGTCAAGAATAATTCTGTCCTACCCAACTGTCTAACCATATTAAGGTATTGAACTTAGTTTATGTAGTGAATATGAGTCATTTAACGTGAAATATGTGAACAATGTAGTGGTTCATACCATTCATGCACTTTTATGTGATTTGTATCAAAATCCAATAATCAGGGTTATATCAGTCATTCTGGTTGTGATAAAACTGAGTGGATAAAAATAAATTGACCATATTGTGGTAGGTATTAATTGGTAACAAAATAAATGTCATTGCTTGTGTGTAGTTATTCTTAGTCAAAATTAGTCGACGGAGAATCCAGTTAGTAACCCTAAAACTAAAAGGTAAACCAAAAATATAGTTCGTTGTTCGTTGTTAATGGTGATTAATATATAAATGAATAAAAGAATTAAATATAATTGCACTGTTAATTATTAACGGACAGTTGCCTAGGTACAGCCAAATGCACACTTCTATCTGTTTAGAATGTTCAAACTACCACGTACATATAGAGCCTAGGCTTTCTGTAATTTTTTGTGACTTAACTATTAGGCAAATCATTGGAACATTTCAATTTCAATTTGCGATTTGTTTTTTAGTGATAATTTTAACACTTTTGAATCATTCGGATGAGGATATAAAATCATACAGACATTAGAATTCCCTAATATATGAATATTTACAGGGTAGAATTTATTATAAGAAAAAATAGAATTTTTATGGCTAAATGTTTGAACACATTCAATTGTCGGAATATTGATGCTTAGAAAGGTCAACAAATAAACTTGACTGCGAAAAAAACTAAGATAACTGAGACTAACAAAATTGATATTTGCAGAAAATTTTTGCTGTATAACTTAAACACTAGGTTTATTACTGCTAGTTATGTAAGTGATGTGTATATGTTTACTTTTATTAAGTCTCATTTTGAACATTTTCTGTTTTTTGTTTGGTGTCATATTTTGGTCAAACTACTTTTTAAAATTGAAAAGAGAATCCTGTAGACAAAGAATAGTTTTCTGTATTCGAATTGGCTTTCCTTATGGACCATTATCAATTTTAGAACCATTGATCATGATCAGGGAGCACTGAATAGCTGTTTTATGATAGTGTAAAAATTCTCATCATTGTATAAACACGACCTTGTCAATGAACGAAACAATGACCCTTAAGTCTCATGATTAACACTTCACCTTTAAACTACTGATATGGAATTCAGTGTTGCGGACTCTCGACTTCAACCATCTCGCGATATTGCACAAAATCAACTGACGACATTGTACATACACTCGTGTTTGTTTGGACAGTTAAAATATTATTAGTTTCGCCTGAAGATGTTAATTGATTGATGCTACCAATTTCATGGTCTGAATGTAACCTCTTCACTATGAGGCTCGAATATGATGAATTCGAACTTCACCAGGGTAGTGAATATACACTGATGCGAAATTTTAAACTGGCATAATATGCTTATCCGTACTCTAGTTTTTTTACTTAGTTTTTCCAGTTGATATCAATCCATGAAGTAAACAAGTTTTCGCCTAAGCTAATTACTTCAAACTCTTCAAGTAAATAATTTTAGAAAGTCCATTTTGATTTTGAGACAAACATTTTATGGATATATTAATAACATTAAGGTAACTTGAAAAAACAGCAAACATTGTAAAACATGAAAAGACTCTTAGATACATTTGACTCATTGATATTCTTCGTGAAAATATCTTAGTGAATCTGTTGAAGTATTTTTCCACCAATATGATATTCATGTGCCATTGCAGATAAGTTTAGAGTTCGTACTCGTTTCACGAGTGAATAGTTATTTGACTCAGAAGCTAAATGGGTAACATATTGAGCATTTGAAACGAAAGGTATTGGGTTTTTCTCTCGGAGTGAGCACCAACTCTGAGATACAGTTACATCCAATTGACGGGTTCTCAATAAGACGAAACCCATGTCATTAATTCTACTGCTAGACACATTCAATCTGTTATTTGTAAACTTGTGAAATGATGATCATATCGAGGCAATCAGAACAGAATGTACATATGCCAACTAAGACTCACCAAACTTTGTTTAAAACATCCACATCTGTCTAATCTAAACCATTACAAACTAAATTGATTGTATACAATGTTTGCTTTCGTTAGAATGTGTTTTGAATAATTTTAATGGACATTTTATTAGACAAGAAATATACTCTTTTTTCTGAGATTCATGAAGTTTGTTTCTACGTAAACTATCTATCTAATGATGTTCCTTTTCAGCTCCGTTGATTTTTGATTTTTCTAATGACATTATTTCGTACAAACAATCACTACCATAATTTTATGTTGTAATATGTTAATATATATAAAATGCATTTTTTATCAGTTGGAACAATCTACAAATTAGTTCAGTCCCATTTGATAAATGATACGTGTATTATTATCACTTACAAAAGATTTGAAAGTCAATATAAATGTTAATAAAAATAGTATATCGAAAATATTTTAACGAACAGATTAGAAAACAAGATATTTGAGATATATTTGATTAAAACATAATGATATGAACGAAGAATATTCTTTTCAATAATATCTCATCAGGTTCTACAATTATAAATCCATATTAATAATCCATAAAGTTGGCCAGATTTAGGAAAGAGTACATCATTTAAAATTGTAACATGTTAATCAAGAATTCTTGTTTGTTATATAAAATCAAATCAAATCGTTTATGTTGGGGTTGACTAATATAAAGTGTTGACTTGAATCAGTTTATACGCGAAATGAAATTGTGTGATAAATGGTCAGGATAAATATGGTCAACATGGGATGAGCGAGAAAATAATGGAATAAAAATCAGAAATTACGTAATATGTGGAATAATATGAATTAAGTTAGATATTTGATTTCAAAAAAACTTCTTACTTTAAATATTATTTTTGTGAAGACTGAATTACTGTTACACTGCTTTCATTATATTTTCTTTACTAATACTGTTCTTTTATAGACTTAAGTTTTCTTGATCCCAATATTAATTTCAGTATATTTGTAGGACAGGATAAGTTAAAATAAATGCTACAATATTACTTTTTTAGTAAAATACATATCTGTGCATGTTGAATATTTATACGTTTCAATATACATTGAAGTTTTAGTTCTTTTTATTTCATTCCAAAATTGTCATTTCCATCATATATCCATTTATAAAATAGAATTATTACAGTTAATGATTTTACCATTAATCAATCTCCACATTCATTTTTATGCAAATTATCAAGTACTTGATTTAAACTGGACATACAAATTGTTTTAATTTCTTTTTTTTTTATAAACTTATTAAAATAAAATAAATTCAAATATCAATTTATGATATAAATATTTTGATAAAATAATATTTTAATATATTTTTGATAATTGTAAGATAGTCAAAAAAAAACAATCTGACAAAAAGAAATAGTTACTAGGCCACACATTGAATTTACTTCAAATACATTCATTGAGAATTTAACGAATTAAATTTTCTTTTCAAAATGTTATATAAACAAATTTTTATGAAAATAATTGATTTAATGACTAGTTAATATATTAGTATGTATGTTTCAATTGTATACAAAATTGAGATAATACTATCTTTGCAATTGAATTTAATGAATAAAATAAATTGACTCATACCGATTAGAAAATATTAAGAAAAGAATAGAAGTGAAAAATTAAGAGTCAATTTATTTTTTCAATGTAGATTAATGAAATCCATTGAAAATGAGAGTAAGTTTGGACTTTTAATAGGCTAAACTAATAATAATAATAATAATAAAACAAATGAATTTTGAAATGGTCTGTTGAAATTATTTGTGTAATGAATACGTTGTTATTTATAATGTATACGTTTCTACAGATTATGTTTTTGTTTATGAGTAAAATATTAGAAAATGTAATATTCTATTGTTAATGTTAAGTATACGATGAAAAACAAATTATTTTATTGTTTTGAGTTCACCTTTATTAACAGTACACTACAGTGTTTCGGTAAGTAGTTTTTAGTGAGCAACCTATGCATTTAGTTTCATAAGTAGATATTAGATTGAACTGGCCAATTGATTTATCAGTAAGTGATTAGTGTATAGGATCATGTAAAATACTGATCGGATGTTTAATTTATTCAGATATGTTTTGAAAATATTTTCCATCCTATCAATTTTAGGTTTTAAAGCTATTAAAAATGAATTAGTTATACAGTAAGGTTTCTTCTTAGTATTGTTTTATGATGAACTGATGGAAATTATAAGTCCAATTAAAATGAGTCATGTATAGTTGAAGAAAATTATTTTTTTGAAGTCCAAGATAATTAATTCCGTAAGTAAAGTAATGGTATAGCAAAAACATATTTGGACGTTATTAACCTATTGTCGTTGTCCGATGACCAGTTTATAGTCTCTTATCGTTATATATATAGTTCTTTTTTAACTGTTATGGTTGAATATTATTTAAAAAGACGAATAAATCTTACAACTATTTTATTTGTTCTTCTATGAATGTTTTTCTGATATTGTAAATTGACCACACCCTTCTAGTTTGTATGTTATGTTAAAAATTAGGTTTTGGAGTTGAATATAGACATTTATTGGATTTTTATGTAATAATGTTGGGTGTTTACATATATATCCATCTAATTAATTATTCTTTACTATTCTCATAAATGAATTTATTCATTATTAATATTAGATATTTTTAGTTTTTGCATATGTTTAGTTTCCTGTCTGAATTTCATTTTTTATAAAATTTTAGAAATATATTTTTTTATTGGTATTTTTATCGTTTTTTTAAAGGTTTCAACATGTCATAATATACCGAAATTATCTACTCAACTAATACAAAGTGAGAATACGAAATTAATGGAGCTAAGAAATCGTAAATGTATTAACAACATCACAAGAACCACACGAGAATCTATCCTTAATGCTAGTAATACCATGACAACAGTTACTACTGCTCCTATTCTAACAAATATCAATACATTGTCTGCCACTACTAGTACTACTACTACTTCAATTTTCACATCACCACTGCTAACAACAACGGCAACAACATCTGTAGAATGCATAGTAAATAATATTAAGCATAATCTGAGTTGTACTAACAACGATTCATTACAATCCTCCTCCTCCTTCAATACACCAGTTAATCATAATAAAAAAGTACATTATTCTAATAAAAACCATGAAAATCAAACTAAAAGTTATACTTTGTTATCAACGTATCAGTCTAATCAAATTTTTGATAATATTAATTGGAACAACAGTCGAAACATTAATCGCAACCAAAACAACCATCACAACATCGGTAATGATAGTCAAACAAAACATAAAATTTCTTTGTCAGACTATTTATCAAGTAAGTCAGCATAATAATACATTTCTATTATCTTTGTTTTAATTACAAATATTTCATGATGATTATTAAGATATTCTCTGTGATTATTTATTTTGTATTGGATTTTTAATCAATCTACGGTGTAGAAAATCTCTTTATTTCATTGTTTAAGTTTAAATGGTAAAAAAACGTCAGTGGTTATTTCATTGTTTTTATCCCATAACTTGGCAATAATAGCGTCTTGTCATTTTTAAAGTTTAAATCACGAATTGGTCTTAGTTAAACCAACGTTGAAAACCTGGGAGCACTGGACGGCCGTTTTGCCCTAAGCGTTCGCACACGAGACTAGAGGTCTTGGGCTCGAGTCTCACATGCGGGATCGTGGATACGCACTGCTGAGGAGCACCATATTGGGACGGAACGGCCGTTCAGTGCTTCCAGATTTTTAATGGTGGTCTAGCTTTATTTGACTCGTGAATTCAATTATTAAACTACTAAAATATCTACAAACCCCCTTCTGATAATAAAAAAGATGTCAGTTTGAAATTTGTCGTTAAGATGTATTATTGGAAAAAGAACACACTATAATTCACCATAATTTCATTAGGTTTATTCTAGACACTATAATACAATTACTAGTCATACTGCCTTGTATTTCGTAGAGTGTATACGGTTAAACGAGTTGGTTAAGTATTCTCTTGGTAATTTTAATTTTTTCATACACGAAAGAGTAAGTAATACTTTTTTAAGACTGAGATTAAGGAGCTAACTCTAACATGAAACAGAATAAATGCCTTAGTTACAGTGCACTTTGTCACTAAAGGTTTAATAATTCAAGCCGTATAAACAAATGTGTAGCATTCAAATATCTTAAACTGTTACCACGGTCATGTACTTATGATGATCCAGTATACTAAAAGACAGCCGTCTTCAGTTTGCTTTGTTTTGGTCTGATCAATGAATCAAAAACCAAATGCTTATTAACTAGGTAGTCATGATGTTCAGTACTAAATTTAATTAAGTAACCCTTGTATTTTATCACAGATAACCCTTGTGGTTAGATCTAAATAGCTTGTCATCAAGTAGACATAAGATAAAAATGTATTTAAAAGCTTCAAATATGTAAGTATATAGATTTTCAATCAAACTGAAGTGAGAATTCTGTCAGAATCTCATTACTTTCGTTAGATTTTAACAAACTTAAATGAATCATCATCCATTGATTCTTTATAATTCCATATAATCTTATTCCATTCAGTTAAACATTATCGAGTAAGTTTTTGAATTCAGTAAGTTGTTAGCTCATTATCTATTTCACTTCAATTTTTATTCAGTATTTTCACCTATACGTTAAGTTAATCACCGATTTCTACATTATCATTTCGAGACATTATATAAATTAAGTTTAGTTGTCTTTGTCATTAAAATGTTTGAATAAAAAAGTATCAATGCTATTTAAAATTACCATTTTCAAGTATAAAGAATCAATATATTTTATTATTGACTGTGATGTTCTTGATGTCCAGTCTTTTTGATGAAATATAGTTCAAATTATAAGCTGACTTAAGCTGAACAACCTTTGTTGTAGGAATGTGAAACATTAGATACTGAATGATTAATACAATCGTGACGATCTTAGCTTGATACCTAGAGGTTGTTGATCCAACAGTTGGTAGGCCAATGAGTGCACACCAATGATGTGTCTCACACTATGACGAGATATTTCCTCAAGTACTCACTGATTTACAGAAGTCATCTAGCCAAAATCAATTCATAATTTCAGCTATATTCCAGTTAAATAATCTTCACAAAGTTTTCACCTTAATCAGAGTCACATTTTGTTACCAATGTTATTTTCTTACCATAAATATCAGAAAAGTATTAAAAGTTATTTGATAAACGAATCATAAAATTAATTTTGTTTCACTTTTTCAAAACGTTTGGATAGGAGACGTAGGCATTATGCTCCTAATAATTTTACTTTGGTCACCAGAAATTTATTTTTTTGAAAATTAATCTTTTTTAAAAATATTTATACATTAAAATTTAGCTGGCAAGTTTTTTTTGGCATGTAAGTCACTTAGCCATTCTCGGTTCTATTATGTTCTTAAGCTTAACTGAGTTAGGCTATAGGTCAGGATTTCGTTTAGGATTATATTCAGACTAAAGGTTTTAATTAGTTCATACAACTAACACTGAATGTAATACAAAAGAACCCGTTGCGAAACCTCGTTGGTGATTTAAAAATGATACCTTCTTTGTGAATGCCTTCATTTTTGTATTATTAATCAATTATTCACATTTGTTGCTTTATGATTGGTTGAATAGGGTGAAGAATTCCTTATGGTCATTTTAAGGGTCGCTCAAGTTCGTCAGTATTCTTAAACTTTATTGTTAAAGTTAGAATAAATTTTGATAAATGTCATACGTTGCTTCATACTTACTTTCACTAAACAGAATTACATCAATACATCTTCATGAATTATGGTTTTCAAAGGAATGTGACATCATTATTCTTTGCCGGAATTTCAAATTAACAGATTCACTCGTCTTTGTTTTATTAAAAATTGTTTTACTTGTGATTGATTGTTTCGTGTAAAAAATCAAATGGAAAAACGCTTGTCATACATTTTGTATGGTATGATTTGATTAAAATCTTACAACAAACAGGAGAAAGAACAATACTAAAAAGAAAGTCTCGATACACTCTACCATTCATAAAATTTTTCCTATGTGTGACATTGGCTGAGGATGCTGTAGAATGAAAATTTAATTGTACTATCCAATAAATCATATCCTACTTTTTTATATCATTGTAGGCGGATATGCATTTTGATTATTCGGTAATATATAGTCCAGCTACATAACTGGAAAATGACTTTAAGATCAATAGCACAATAAAGTACTTTTCTAATAAATTAGGATGAAGTTATCAAAACGTCATTTAGAATATGATACACTCTTCATTCGATATGGTCATGTATTGTCTGCAACTAATTCTGACTACTTTTTAAATTGGTTTGGTTTATTGCTTTGTATATTTGTGATCATTAATATCCATGTAAATACACATGTTATTCGCTAACCGTATCTTTTTAAATTGCTTTTAAGCAGCTTACATTTTAATCTATGTAAAAATGCTACCAGTATTAGTTTGACAGTGGGTGACAAAGTTAGCTAACGATGTCATTGGAGCTTCGCTGATAGACAGAAAATCATGATTATGTAGAATAAGACCATCAATATGTGACGAAAATGATTGGAATCAACATGAAACATTTTAGTTTCTATCTTCAAAAGTAAAAGACCTTTCTCATTCATTTACCTTAGTTTGCTATTAAGCCAACCTGCTTCCCGAACGATATTGCTGATGAAGTTCTCACTATTACACCATAGATACGCACTTGTCTGTGTTCACACTTCTCTCAGTGTAGAAATTTTTTAATTAGTATATATATATATATATATATATATATATATATATATATTGCTACAAGGTGCAATGTATTAGAATTATTGGAGTATCATTATTGTTAGTATTTCATGATTGATGTAATTATTATCATTGCTTACTAACATCATACTGCATTTCCGCAACGTATTATTTTCAAAGGTGTTTCGTGTTGATTAGTGCTTACCTGTCAATAAAATCCTTCCTTACTCTCAAACAAACACATATCTCAGTGGTTATTATAATTAACAACTTTTTGTATCATATGCAAATGGAAGTTTTATATGATTAACTTTTCAATATTCTGCCAAATTATAGTTAACAATGACTTCACGAAATTGTAGATCCGTTTTTTATTGATTTTGTTCACAATGCTGAGCATTCGTATGAGATACTGTTTTTCTTTTAGCTTTGTACACTGGTAGTTGGACCAAAAAATTTAAATTTAAAATACGAATTTTATCAAAACAACGTTTTTTTAATTTTACCGTATCCTGTTTTGATTTTCTCATTTACCTTATACTTTGTCCATTAATTCAAACATTTATTTTACATATTCAATTTATTTCATTTTTTTATAACAAGTTGAGAATAGAAAGTCTAACTTATATTCATAGGTATCTCTTTTTATCGATTCATAATAATTTGAAGAGATTCAGAGTTTGTGTTTAGTAGAAATTACGACAAAACTCAATTTGTGGAGCAAGTTATAATTTCATAGTTTAACACATTCTTAATATTTATAAAGTTATTTCAATTTTATTTATTGTTATTTCTTTCAATAAGATTTATTTAAATGAGTACATAACCTTCCTATTACGGATACTGCTCAAGATTTGTTCAGATTATATAACTAACCTTAAAATCTGATGTTATTCTGATGTTACACAAAAATGATGTACTGAATTTGAATGAAGTTTATATAAAATTAGAAAAGATAAAGTGAATGTTTGTTCATATGATCATACAATTTGTAGGCTGACATATGAAATAAACATACCTTATGTTAAATGAAATCAAATGAATTATTTACATGTGATTTAGTATAAAAGGTTTTTAGAAAAAAATTCTCACATAAACGAAAAATACTTTTTTATCTAGGTTATGTAGAAATGGTAAAATTAATACTATTCAGTTACTTACTTACGCCTGTCACTTTCAATGGAGCATAAGCCACCGATCATCATTTTCCAACCCACTCTGTCCTGGGCCTTTCTTCCTAGTTCTATCCAATTTTGTTCATTTTTCTCATGTCTGTCTCCATTTCTCAACGTAATGTGTTCTTTGATCTTCCTCTTTTTCTTTGGCCTTGAGGATTCCATGTGAGGGCTTGCCTTGTGACGCAGTTGAGTGCTTTCCTCAATGTGTGTCCTAACCACTTCCAGCGCTTCTTCCTGATTTCTTCCTCCACTGAAATCTGGTTTGTTCCCTCCCACAATAGGTTGTTGCTAATTGTGTCTGGCCAACGGATTCGAAGTACTTTGTGTAGACAGCTATTAATAAACACTTGTATATTCTGTATGATAGCTTTCGTAGTTCTCCAGGTTTCCGCTCCATACATTAGAACTGT